AAAGCAAACACAGCAAAGCAATTGTACATATGGCGGTATTTTCAAGCCTGAGGTCCTTCTACAGGCTGGGAAACAGGAGGATATGTCTAGGTAAGAGATCTCAGCAAGAACAGCAGCACCTGAGGAGGGCACTGCTCAAGAACAGCCAGTCATACATTGATTCAGCAAATGTGTGGTTTTAAGCTGTTGTAGCTGCATGAATCATAGAGAAGCAGGTCTCCACCATCGAAAAGATCTCTTTGTTCATCAATGACATCTTAGTAAAAAGACAATTTAGTAAGAGAACTCATACTTGAGTGTCTGTGGTAGATATAAGAATGGTCCAACAGTAGTTTAGTAAGAGAATTCATCCTTGAATGTCTGTGGTGGATACAGAAATGGCCCAACATGTTACTTACTATGTGAAATTCAACTGCTTATGAAGTAAGAAAAAAATAACAATAACAGCAACATGTAGCTTCCTAATGTTCTCCCTCTGTGTCAAAAATTGCATTCAAGTGTTCTCCAAATTGTTTTTAGAAATCTACTTAGTTTGAAAAAACAATAGCCCTAGTGAGTAAATATTCCTAGTATTCCAAAGTAGATTTAGGATACAAGCTGGTCTTTACATTCTTTATTGTAAAGAACATAAATGACAAATGTCTGATAATGTTTTGTGCTTAATAATAAGGAAAAGAACCCTCCCGTACTTTTTTTTTTGGTTGGAGCTGAGGACCGAACCCTGGGCCTTGTGCTTGCTAGGCAAGCACTGTACCACTGAGCTAAATCCCCAACACCAAACCCTCCCATACTTTAAAGCTCTTCCATAGGGAGTTACCTCCAGAAAGTTCTAGATCAATTCTTTTAAATCCTTTGTCCCAAATATATGTTGTCTTGAGCAATGGGAGTCTTATTTTCAAGTTCTAGGCGGCAACAGAGGGCAATGGCAGGAGCCTTTATTCTTTGAAGGAATTCTCTTGGACTCCTCTGACTAATAACTCAAAGAGAGGGTTTCTATACCTGGTTCTGGAGCTTCTGTTACATAATCTATGGCTCAGAGAGGAAACATTATGTCCTCAAGTGGCATAACTCCCTTTCAACGACACACACACACACACACACACACACACACACACACACACACACACACACTATATGTGCATTTTAAGTAAGCTTATAAAATAATATTTTCGTAGGTTTTTTCCAGCTTATTTAGTGTTATTTCTCTCTCTGTCCTTCCACTCGCTCTGTATTACTCTTCCTTCTTGCCCTCCTCAGTTCAGTCCTGGCCCCCCCCCGCCATTTTTATTTCTTTTTTTTCATAACACCTGTACCTTTTTATCCCCCTCTTTAGAACTCCTTTTCACCCTCATCCCCATGGTTCCTCTGCTTCCTTAGCCTCCATGGTCACTTTGGTCATGTACCCACCCTAAGACTCAGTGCTGGGAACCACAAATAGAGAACATGCATGCAGTGTTTATCTTTCTGAGTATGGGTTACCTCACTTCACATAATATTTTCCAATTCCATCCATTTACCTGAAAATTTCATGACTCCATTTTCTTTTTTAGCTGAATAGTATTCCATAGTGCATATGTACCACGTTTATATTATTCATTCATCAATTGAAGGACATTTAAGCTGTTTCCATTTCCCAGTGATCATGAAGAGAATGGGAATTAACATGGCTGAGCATGTATCTATGGAATAGGATGTCAAGTCCTTTGGGAATATGCTAAAGATTGGTAGAGCTGGGTCATTTGGTCTATTTTTAGCTTTTTAAGAATTCTCCACATTAATCTAAACAATGGCTGCACCAGTTTGCAATCCCACCAACAGTGGATGAGGGTTTTCTTTCTCCCGCATCTTCACTAGCATTTGTTGTCAGCTGTTTTCTTGATCTTAGCCATTCTGACTGGCATAAGATGAAAACTCAAAGTTGTTTTTAAAAAATTGCCTTTCCCTGATTGTTAAGGATGATGAGTACATTTTAAAGATATTTCTGCCATTTTTACTTCTTCTTTTGAGAACTCTCTGTTCAGATCCACACCTACAAACCATGACCAGCCTGACAAGATATCCCAAGTGCTGCAATAATGGCACATATATATTGGAGGGAATCAGCAACTGTTTAATTGGATTTAAGGCTTGATCAATAGGGGCAATTCATCCCTGGTACTGTAAACATAGCCAACGGAACTATATCTAGGAAGGCCACAGACCCTAGAGGAGAAGCTATGACTGCTTTCCCTAAACCAGTATTGTTTCAAACTGTATTTTAAATGCTTTTACCCACAGCTAAGTGTCACTTGCACCCCTCATTAAAGAAACTGTGTTGAAGCTGACAGAGGCAATTACAGTGATCCACAACAAGGCAAAATGAGAAAATGTCCCTGTGGAGTGCCCAACCCTGATTACTACACAAGGCTCAGGAAACATCACTGAAAGGGGGGTGGAAAGATTGTAAGGGAAGAGGACCAGGACAGCTGATTCGAGATAGTGCCTTCTAGACACAACACAGATGCTGTAACTACCAAAACTTAACAGTATGGCTGCCTAAAAGAGACCTGTATAATTATATTAGTTAACTTGTCACCATAGATGGGGAGAGTTCACAAGGCTAAATGGAAAGCTATAGGCATTCAATGGATGCTAAGAGAGCTGAGAAAGGGAGAATCCCAATTCTCCAGGGACAAGCCAATTCCCAAGTGGCCAGCCCTAAACGCGTGTGCATATGAGTAACACAAAAAGGGTTCAGTAGGTTTGTGTGTGTGTGGATATGTGTATGTGTGGATATATAAGTGTATGATGAATATATAGCTTTCTAAAATTCTCTGTGTTAAAAATTCATTTAACCCTTTGAACTTTGCTTTGCATCATTAACTGTTTTATACAAGAATTTAAAAGCAGAAGCAAAACAGTCTAATTCAAAGTTTTCTTTCATTGGAAGCACCCTCAGAAGCTACATTTCATAAACACTTTCCATCTGCAGTCCCTTTTACAAATTCTTGCTGAACACTTTTGGCATGTTGAGGTTACTATAGAATACAGGGAATACAAACTTCTATTCCAATTCTACTAATGAAAATGCCCCTGGGGGGTGGTAGGTGGTTAGGACTCCTTGGGTATACCTTTCTATAAGCTCTGTATAGAAAATTTAACCTCCCTGAGTCCCAGATTCTCATGTTTTGGTGTGTGTGTGTGTGTGTGTGTGTGTGTGTGTGTGTGTGTGCGCGCGTGTGCGTGTGTGTATGTGTGTCTCACAGTACAGAATACTGGCTTATGATAATGAAGCTGTCTGGATTGAATCCCTCCAAGTCGATATTCTAGGCATTTTGACCTGTTGTAGATCTCTATAATAGCTTTTTTCCTTATTTCATGAAGACATTTTCACACATCCATTGATGTTAGCACATTAATTAATGTTGTAATTGTGGAGGTCACTTTTAGGCAGCCATACTGTTGAGCTTTTATGGTTTCAGCATCTGTGTTGTGTCTAGAAGTCACTATTTCCAATCAGACATCCTGGTCCTCTTCCCTTACAGTCTTTCCACCCCCTCTTCTGTGATGTTTCCTGAGCCTTGAGTATGTGGGTTGTGCTGCAGATGTAGTAATCAGCACTGAGCACTCAACGAGGACAGTCTCTGCATTTTGCCCTGTTGTGGGTCACAGTAATAATCTGTTTCCTTATTTCATCATGACATTTTCACACATTTGGCGTATTTTCAAAGGGGTCATATATAGCCTTCCTATAAGACTGTACATGTGGGGTTGAGAATCACCAACCACAAATAGGCAAAGGCATGGAATCCAGCACACACATGAGCATCATACTTGCTGTGAGTCATTTACTTTTCCCGCATCCCTGGGAGTGCCTGAATTATGCTGCTCACAGTGCTTCAGAATGGCCTAAGATAATGAAGCTTAAGTTGACTTCCATAGATAGTATGAGCTGTGGATTAGAGGGTAGAATTGTTGGAGCAGGAGGGACATCAAGGTCCTCATGGACACATGATCCCTGCATTGCTGAACAAGGATTCGTCCCTGGCTGTTGGTGATGGGGAGAGCTTAAGCACAAAGCTGACTTATGAACCAAAGAGGCACCACATCAAGGTCACAAAGGAAAAATGTATGTGAGTTCCCAAGACTGGTTTGGCAAGGGTGGCCTTCTTCTCTGGAAGCACAATCGACCCTTTCCTTTCCTGTTAGATTCACATTCTGCACTTGTTCCATCCATCTCTTCTCTCAGAAAATGAAGAGCTAGTTTCTTTTCCAGGAGGTAATCCCACAGGGTTAATCTTTGATTCCTTTCAGCTTCCACTGAAACGTCTGGTTTTTAAGTCAATTAAAAGGTTATTAGGTGTGGAAAAATTAGGGCAAGATTATATTAATTTATGATGGTGTCTAAATTACCAAAGAGAGATTATTTTTATCCACTTCATTAGTGGGAACAATTTATCACCATCTCCTTTTAAAAAAAATCAAGGTAAGTTCTGTGGTTCCTTTGAGGACATATTAGTATGATTTTCCATGACTTTTGGAAGGTATTTTAGACCTCTTCTGTAGCCACTGCTATCAGCCAGCTTTGTTTTCTTTGTGGAAATATCTAGGGCCAAGGCTCTGTGAGAACACAAAGAGAAGAAATCAAGCATGTAATCAGTGGGAGAGCTGAACTGAATGACTTTGAAAGTGAGATAACTTAAGGTGATAATGGTGTCCTCCTGCATCTTTTTATCTGTCTTTGGATGACCAAAATAGTCAGTCAGAGCAGAGCATTTAGGCAAAGGCAAAGGAATGAAATGTCATTACAGCATGCTTTAGATTTCATAAAGGAGTTAGAAAGTCGGTGTTGTATAAGTTATGTTAAAAATAACGATGAAAGAATCCTTAGATAAGAGACACCGGAATAGTCATGGATGTTGATTCTCATGAAAGTCCATGAGAAAATTCACAGACATCCTGGGAGAGCACGGTGCTCAGAGACCTGTCTCCTAATGCTGCTCTCCTTGTTCTCTTTGCAGAGCTACAGTGATCCTGTTGATGTGAAGACATCTCAGCCACCCCAGCTGGTCAACTCCAAGCCGTCAGTGTTCCATGGGCCCAGCCAGGCCCACTCAGCTCTGTACCTAAGCTCTCACTATCATCAACAACCAGGAATGAATCCTCACCTCACCGCCATACACCCAAGCCTCCCCAGAAACATAGCACCCAAGCCGAATAACCAAATGCCAGTGACTGTCTCCATAGCCAACATGGCTGTGTCCCCACCACCACCCCTCCAGATCAGCCCACCTCTTCACCAGCATCTCAGCATGCAGCAGCATCAGCCGCTTGCCATGCAGCAGCCGCTTGGGAGCCAGCTTCCCATGCAGGTCCAGTCTGCCTTACACTCGCCCACCATGCAGCAAGTAAGTCTCTCACTTAGGTTCTGTGTACCTCTGGAGGGTGACTGTCTATCAAGCAAAGGAGAGAAGGGTGAAATGGAGAGAGAACTGCAGGCATTTGACAGACTTACTTCTGGAAAGTGTAAATTACAAGTGGCCAATTGTCAGAATCACCATCCCAGGCATTGATAGCACTTGCCTTCGAATCACCGCTTTCTTTCCCAAGATATATCAACTTGGTGTTCCTTTGCCGGTAGCCCCTTTGTTTCTGGTTTCAGTCTCTTTAGTGATAACATGTGCTAAGATGCCATGTGTATCATGGATCTTGTTGAAACAGAGTCTGTAATTGCTTCTTAATGTCATTAGGAAATGAGGCTTTCTTGACTGGGATGACCCTTGAGTTCAATAATTGGTATAAATGAAATCAGATTCAATACCAGATTTAGTAGAGCCCTAAAAACACTAAGAACCAAATAGTAACTGGAGCTTCATTTTGAAATGTATACAAGGAGCCTGGGATGAGAGGAGTATTTTGCCATCATGTGACAGGCCCTGGATTTAATCCCTACCATTGCAAATGCATGTGTGTGTGTGTGTGTGTGTGTGTGTGTGTGTGTGTGTGTGTGTGTCTGAGTAAATAAGAAAACAGGAGAGGTATCTGGCTAATCTTACTTAGTTTTTATTTGCAATCAAATTTTCTTTTCAGATTTTTTTTTTTAGATTTTAATGCTCTTTCATGATTTGAGAATTCGGAGCATCTATAAACTCAATGGAACATAAAATATTAAAAAACCCTGAAAGCTCCCTTTAGAAAATAGACAAAGGTTAAAAACTACCAGTCATAGCCAACTTAACCACCATCTTTACCACTCAATTATGCTTTTCCTAGAGCTTTGAGTAAACCCATAAGCATGGTCTCTTGCAAAATTCATATCTTGTTTGTACACAGAATGCATGCTTACCCTAGGAAGAGTAAGGACAGGGAGGCAGAAGTACGAGCCATGTCTAGGAAGCCTAAAGTGTATTTTATTATGATTATTACAGACAGGTTTCTGAAAGCTGACTACAGCAAACCCAGTACCTAGCACTTAAATTTTCAGAAAACTCGCAGTGTTGGTATTCATTTGGTGGGTAAGGAAACTGAGACTTGGCATGTAAGAGTACTGAACTCACAAGCTGGGAGCTGGAGTTCAAATCCAGATCAGACCAGAACTCTGAAGCATCATTCTGAATGTTCAGTGACTGCTTCTCAGCCTCACACTTTCTTGTAGATTATTAACAGATTTGTTTCAGAAAGTCTGTGTCCTCTAAGAGTTTAGAGGGCTTTTCAATCTTAGGTACTTGCAAAGTCAAATCTTTTATAAAATATAAAGGAATTCATCGTCTCACTGTCTTTCTTGGCTCCTAAACCAAATATGTGAATAGCTAACTTTCTTACCTACACACCACAACCTGTTGCTGAAGATGAGTCACTTGGAAGGAAGACCACAGTGGTAACAATTTCCAACCTCTGGCCCTGTCTCTAAATGCATTTATGACCAAGAGATGTCCATGGGATAGAATGATAGAAGGATAGAACCCTGTGCATCAGACACTACTCACAAGGAAATGAACAGTACTGAATGCCTTTGTATTTTAGTGAGTCAATGGTATCTGCTTGAAGAATAAGCAGTGTGGGGCTGTCACCTGCACTTGGATGGATTGACACCAGCTTGCAGGTGCTGTGGGCTCCAGGCACATGTGCTGATCACTATGCTGTAGCTCATCTACTTCTTCATAAGGGAAAGAGTCCCTCTGGGAAAGAGACAGACCTATCCAGAAAGGAGACCCTTTCCTAATTTATCTACTCAGGAATACCTCCTTCTTTTCCTTATGTTGACACCTTGGATAAGGCAATGGCCATCATGAATAGTTTTCTGCTATTTGAGAATTAAAGGGCTACTTGTAAAACCTCGAGATTTATCTCACAATACAGATTCTAAATATGGGGGGATAACTCACATTGTTTTCAATGAGGTATTTATTGATCTACAAGTCAGCTTTTTATTAGTGTATCTCAAAAAGTGTCTGGGGTTAGAACTCATAATAAAAGATAATGGCCGGAATTCACAATGAAGAAAAAATAGCTACAAAGACAGCGTTACTAAAATCACTCTCAACAATGCCTTGAACGTATAGGCAATTAATAAAATAATTGTGGAATAATAAACCTCTAATAATAGTATGCTATACTTTTTGGAGAAATTGTAGATTTGGGTGTAGCTGGAAGTTAAAAAATTTACTATGATAAAAAAAAATTTAAACAAATCCTAACATGTGCCAGGCATGGCCTGTACTCTTAATCTTAAGTGATCTGGGAATCCAGGGACAGAGGCTCATGCTTCCTGGAGTTGGAGCATGAGAAGTGATAGTAACAAGACAAAAAGTCAAAATCCAATGGCCAAGATACAAGAAGACACCAGCTCATAGAGGAATGGCAGAGAGCACTTCACAGCCCACTCAAAGGCTTCAGAGACCACAGATGCAAAGAAAACGCAACATTTAAACACTGTGGAGGCGGGGAGGTAGGAAGGGTGTGAGGACATTCCAGCAAAGACTAGTAACCAGAAGAATAGGTCCCAGGAGATGAAAAAGATGGGGACTGTATCTGCATTGTGGGCAGGTTAACAGAGCAAGGAGCCTGCAGATTAAAGGGACTGCCAGCTGGCCATCCTAAAGTCAAGATGGAGAAGTTGGCACCAATCAATGTGATGCGGTACACTCTCAACAGTTTGTCGCGCCCGCTATTCATGTCATGAGTGAGATTTTAGCCTGTAGATCAAGTCGACCTGCCGGGTTCATCATCCAATCCACCTTCAACCTGAAGCCATTTGTTTCCTAGTGTGTTTACCACATTCCTGTTTAAGTACCAAGAAAAGAAAGAGAGAAAAGAAGCTGATGGCTACTGTACTCTTTAAAGATGGTCTCACATTTCAGTACTACTCTAGATACTTTACTGTCCCTTTGAAAATGATGCTTCCAACAACAACAACAAATGCCTGCTAGTGTTCCAGCAATGACAGTTCCATTATTTTCTTAAGAATATCTTATACACTCAGTCCATGGTCCTACTTTTTTTGTTTCAGTTTTCTTTCTGTCTCTCAGTGCACTTTTATTGTGGAATGAGGTCAAGAGAAAAAAATCATTAATATCTGTCACTTTCCTTTATAACCTTAAGAAAAAAATCTTTGTAAGGTATCACAGACAGATTTTCAATTTCCTTGTGTAATAAACAGCTGCTGTAGGATTTGGGTGTAATTTAAGGGTTTTTTTTTTTTTAAATCACATTGAGATTGATGAATAAATCAGTCATAAAGACAAAACATTGATGCCTGTTGAAAATACCTCTCAAGACAGGCAGGAAATGAAATTAGTTTGCAGTAAGTGTGACTATGAGGATCACTGCTTGGTGGTGCTACAGGCTTTCTCAGACTTGCTAGGTAGCAAAACAAAACTGTGAGGGCTACAGGAATCTAATTAAAGAGCAAATGTCCCTTCTGACATCAAATTAATCTTTATCATGTTTCCTATTTTTATTTCAATCTGGCACCAGAAAATGAAATTTAAAATTCCAGGCATGCTACAAAACAGTTGGTGATTTTTCTCCTGAGCATTAAAATGCAAAATATTCAGTCTCGTTTAATTAGACTGCTAAGCAAACATTTTTCAAAAAATTTATATCATCATTGTTGTTTCCTATTTACATCTATAACAGAAGTGTACTTAGCTCAAGGGTTGACCTCAGCATCTCCTTATATAGTGTTCTGGGGAATGTTTCCGTTTCTATCTTGAAAGTAAAATAATGTTAAATACTGTTACTTTGGTCTATACCTATATTTTTCTTGGTCCTTAGTTGTTTGGGCAGAAGTGATTTATTTAAATGTAGATTTTTGAAGGTAGCATAATTCTCCATCTTGGACCTTTGTAGATCACATGTGGCTTTTATGTTAAGCTAGAGATTTAGAAGTGTTTTCCTTACATTCTGACTTAGCCTGTGGAACTATTTCCACTGTGTGCATTACTCTTCCATGTGTCCGACCTTCAACTAACTTGGGATATTTCCAGTTACTTTTTATTTTGAGCCTTTTTGCTTTTACGTTTTGTCAATTGTATGGAAAATTCAATGGAGAACTTTAAGTTAAAAGGTCAAATAAGTCTTGACATTTACATGTTCATTTTTTACTTTCTTACAGTAGCTTCAAATAGTCTTTATTTCTTGAAAAACCTGATTTATTGAGCCACTCTTGTAGGCTAGGCCCTGGGATGACCCAGTAAACACTGTAAACACTAATCACAGTGTCCCCCAGCCGCCCTGGAGATGGGCTCAATTGTGAAAGAAACCAATACAGGGTTTCTTAGAACCTTTTCCTGCTCTCCACCTAGCATTACAGGATATCAGGGAAAGAAAGTGAGAAGGTAGGCAGCAGGACAGGACCAGAGGAGTGAAGGTATTTCACTGAGGTCAGAGACTCCTTCCATATTAGAAATCCAAGAGACCTAAAGAAAGGTGAAACTGCCCTCCCCCAGGAAGATGCTTTCAGCCTGAGGGGTCTCTATTCAGGAATGCTTCCTACATGGCAGTTGTTACTTAGGAAATCCATTGCTTTAAATCTGCATTGGAGCAACAACCAGTATGACTAAACTCTGGGCTTGTTGGTGACTTGTTTCTCATCATCCTGAATTCCTTCTCTCTCCACAATTTCATGAGAGTAGACATAGCCATGTGTCTGCAGTCTTTGTCATTGGAACAGCAAATCAATGGACCCCTTAAAGCCAACTAGAAGGTTAAGGCAAATTGATCTGAGATGTGGTCTTCAAATCACTATGTGAAGGACCAACCACACATGAGTAAAAATCTGAGGAAATGCCTTTAGTTAAAAATCCACCCCCTTACCCCCATGCTGAGTGTAAGGAGAGTCATCAATAGCATTTTGCTCCAATGCTACTTGCAAGTAAAAAGAGCACCATGCATTTATAATCTTGATTTCTTGGGTGTTAAAAACCATGGCTAGAATCTGCTGCAAAGACAACCACGAGATTAATTAAGTTGCTTTCTGTGGTCACTTCCAGCAAAGCCTGCTTATGCTGCTCCTCAATTCACCAGATAAGCCAAAAATAAATTGTGTATAATGCTTTGTGTTTACCAGATACAGCTATATGCTTCAGAGAGTCTGTCCTTGCATTTTTAATAGCTTTACTGGCATTAAAAGTCAACACTTCACCATACTAGTGCATTAAAAAAATCCTCCGGAAATCTGAATATTGTTTGCCAGCTAAGAGACTTTTCAATTAAAAATGTTTGCTGTCTTTACATGTTTTATTCCCATGTTTTCCAATGGCAAGTTGTTTTCCATCTCTTCCCCTATATTAGTCCAACAGCCGATATGGTTGAAATTTTCAGCCAATAGAGAAATACAAATAAAAAGAAGAAGCAGATGGCCCCATTGTGACTGAATGTAGAAAGGGGTTTTGAGAACAATATGTGAATAGGTGTAGTCTAATAAAACACTCAGCCACCTGCTGCCCGAATGCTTCAGGAAGACTGCTGCTTATTCTGGGGATTAACTATTAATGTGTCTCTAGGTTGATAGAAAACATCAACCGTGAGGGGCTTAAGGTCATTCTCCCTTTGCTTGGATTGAGTTGGCTATTCTATATTTTAAATTGTTTCCCAACTCAATTTATCTGCCCAAGGGTGTAATGAAAGGATTTTGACACGTGGTTAAACGAAGGAAAGGTAAGAATAATGAGGTGGTGGGTGCTTCTTTTCTACTTTAGGTCGGGGGAGAGGGGTGCTTCCACGGGTTCCTGCAGAACTGAGGTGGCCTACCATGCTTGCAGGCGTGAGTAACTATGTCCTTGCTTGCTTTTAAAAGGCACTGCGTTTCTCAAGTGTGGATTTGCTTTCCCCTCAGGGATTTACTCTTCAACCTGACTATCAGACTATTATCAACCCTACATCTACAGCCGCACAAGTTGTCACCCAAGCGATGGAGTATGTGCGTTCTGGGTGCAGAAACCCTCCCCCACAGCCGGTGGACTGGAACAACGACTACTGCAGTAGTGGGTAAGCAGCCGGCCATCGCCACCTGGTGGTGGAGAGTGTCATAGCATGAGCCTCAGCATGGGCAAGGCTTCCACAGCCAGGAAGGCTTCAGGAAAGTAAGGTCCAAAAACCGTGTGGAGCCATCTTCTAGACTTTCCAAGAACAAATGCCTTCACGTTTCTCTTTGCTGTGGACTTAGGTCAACCACCTGTGCGCCTCGCCCGCGCCCGTCTTACTCCCCCGCTCCCCCAGCTAGAACAAATAATACGACCCTTACCACTCCTGCCCCCATTCCCGCCCCCACCCACCGCGGTTCTGATTTTCCTGTAACAATGTTTTCTCTCCACACAGGGGCATGCAGAGGGACAAAGCACTGTACCTCACCTGAAAAATCTCAACATGTCTCATTTCCACTGAGGAATTCAGGGAAGTCTTTTCATCATGGATTGCTTTGTACACTCAAGGCAATTCTTCATTTTATTAGAAAATACAAGTTGCTAAGCACTTAGGACCATGTGAGCTTGTGGGTCACCCACTCTGGAAGAAATAGTCATGCTTCGTTATTATTTTTTTAATCTTTTATGGACATTGTTCCTCTTCCCTGAAGGAAGTATGGACCGTTCTGATTTCTGTTGGTTTTGCTGTGAAGTACTGCGCTCTAGTAACTGCCTTAGCAACGGTAGATGTCTGGGGTAATGGTCCTGGGTTTTCATTGGTTTTCATAATGGGTGTTTATATGAAACTACTAAAGACTTTTTAAATGGCTTGATGTAGCAGTCATAGCAAGTTTGTAAATAGCATCTATGTTACACTCTCCTAGAGTATAAAATGTGAATGTTTTTGTAGCTAAATTGTAATTTGAAACTGGCTTACCCCAGTTTGTTTATTTCACAGAGGGGTTAAATTGGCAAACATTCATATTTTTACTTCATTTTTAAAAACAACTGACTAATAGTTCTATATTTTCAAAATACTTGAAAAAAATATTCCCAAATGATTTTAATTTAAAAACAAATTGGCTTTGTCTTATTGATCAGACAAGAAGAACCTAGTGTGGAGGGAGGGAAGCGCAAACACATTTATTTTGTATTGCAAAAAAAATCCTTTTTTGTATCACTTTTGTGTAACAGTTAGTAAATGTCATCTATCTAAGTCCTTTTATGTATAAAGCTGCCAAATGCTCACCCGGTATCTTAGCTGCAGAACCAGGTTGGAAAGCGCTAAACGATCATCTTTATGGCTCTGTATTATTGTTTCCTCATACCGTGTCTGTATTTAATCTTTTTTTTTTATGGAACTTGTTGCGCCTATTTATGAAATAATAAATATAGGTGTTTGTAAGTAAATTTGTTAGTATTTGAAAGAGGTTTCATTGCTGTTTTAATTTTTGCTGGCAAAAAAAAACCATGCTTGGTGTGAATACTTATTATTTAGTTCTTACGGTGACATGAATAAAACCAAATCTGCTTTTCATTTAGTAGCAAATTAGAGTAATGAATCCGTACTTCTGCATATCTTTTGTTGACATAAATGAAATACAATTTTACTTAGCAACCTTCTTTCCTTGCACAATTCATCAGAAAAACGCCCCAGAAGTCTCACACACTCCATGCCTAAACAAATACCAGTGCACCCTCTTGCTAAAATGAGCTGTTTCTCACTTCTCAATTCCAAAACATGCTCTCCCCATTAAAAAAAAAATTCAAATTGAGTCACCAAAAATTCCTCAAGCCACATGCTTCTCTCATGGCATCCAGAGAACAATTTAAGAATTGACCAAGGGCTCAGGAAGAGATCAAAAGAAGGCATAGTCTTTAGAATCAACCTGGAAATGAAAGGTGAGTAAGCAGACAGCCAAAGAAATCGGAAAAGCAGCCAGAACTGGAAGCATTTGCTAGAAGTTGAGATTCCTGCTATCTCTCAGGCCCTCCACTCCCTTCCTTTCCACACACCCTAGGTCCCTCCTGAGATTTGCTAAGAGAGGGGTCTGCATAGCTTTAACAACAAAAGGGCGGGTGAACAAATGTCTCCCTTCCAGGGGGATTGTATCACGTAAATCAATCTGGTTGGAAATCAAGGGAATAGCTGTTTCGTGGAATGTATGAAATAACTTCAGCAATTTAAATACAAATGCATTATGTAATCCAGTCAGAATTAAAAAGACAAAAAGCTTGCTTGCTTTGGAATGATTTTCAAGCATTGTACAACACTGAATCACTCAGCATGTAATAACTAATAAATAATGCAGATCCAATGTTATCATTAAAATGACTGGGGCTGAGAGCTCGAATTTTCCTGTCTTGATATTGTATAAGAACTCATGTGATTAAGTTCACAGTTTATTATTTGGTTGTTTAGCATTTTAGAAATATATGAGCACTACTAATTAACTAATGTCTTTTATTTATTATATTATGAAAGAGTATAGCTTTCTCCTGCACTGAGTGTAAACTGAGAAAGGAATCCTACCAGCTAAGACAAGAGGTTTGTCCAGGAGACTGTGTACAGCTTTTCCCAGTAGGCACATGTTCAAGACAAGAAGAACAAATATACCAATTAAGAAAATATATTATCAGTAAAACTCTTAGAGCATGTGGAAGTATTCTACTTGGAGATTCCTCAGACTCTAAAGGACATGCCAGGTCAAATGAGGAATCTCACGTGCATTTCAGGCCAGAAGTGACTGAGTACAATAGGCATTAATAGCTGTAATGGCTTCAAAGGTTCTTTCCCAAAATTCCATGAGTGTCTCTCACCAACCAAAGAAATCCACTCCTTTAATTCTGCCGTCTTTTGACACAGACACCTTAGACTCAGTTAACTCATTACCCAGAGAAGCAGTGATTCCTGAGTAGAGAGCAAAGTCATTCTAAGATTCAACAATGGTACTGAACATAAAATATGTTCATGAGTATATCCAAAATCAGAATTCTAGCTAAGCAGAGGAAGAAACATATGCCAGTGGGGGGGGGGGACTGGGTTGTCTCTCTAACAGAATGAAGGAATGATGCTCTAAAATCCAGAGTTCCATCTAAAAGAGAGTGAGGTGACAGTGGGAAATGAGTCAGATAATGACTTGCAGAAGGTCCAGCTAGGGAACACAGCTAAAGATGAAGTTGTCTTCTAGGATGATTTTATCTGCCTCTTAAAGTCAAGAAACCCTTCTACATGGGCCATAAAGTGTGAACAGAATACCAGGATTACAGTGTGTACTGTCCTAGCTCAGGTTCACTGCCAAGAAATTTTTTAAACTTAAGAATGCAAAACTTAGAATTAGTGCGACCATCTATTTCCGTCTTCCATGCAAGAGCTGCCCCTCTCAATGAAAAGTCATTAGCTGACCCATGTGACATGGACAGTTTTCACCCATTTCATAGGGTCCACCAGAAGATGATGTAGGAACTAGAGATAACTATGCTTTCAGCTATAGCTTTAAATATAATTTCTAAGGCAATTTGAGGTACTTTACAAAGCACTAAGTGGGAAACACTCAAAAAGTAACTGACAGATTGTTTATACATTACTCCACTTAGAATCCATTTGAGAAATCTATGATCTGTGAAAGAATGTAGTGAACTGAGAGATTCCAGTAGATCACAGTGTCGTTATTAGAGGAACCTTGTATGTAGAAATTCATAATAAACAGCAGTCTGCTAAAACATGAAAACTTGTTACACATAGTCATTCTCATAATATTGTTTGTAGAACTGGCCTACATTATTATTCTACTGTTAATTCTCACTGGAAGTGAGGATGGAAACACAGCAAACTCCCTAAGTCTGCTGCTTGTGGTTGGACACTGAAACAGTGGCAAAGCGAAGGCCAAGAGTGAAGTCAGTTCAGCCTCTAAGTATGTCTGTCTGTCTGTCTGTCCTTGAAATTCAGTGGCTTTCATATCTCTAACTGGGATACAATAGCACACAATATTGCATAGCAAATGTAATGTGATAGCATCAAGAAAATACCACAAATTAACTTCAACATAAATTGTATGATACTTCCTTTTAAATATAGAAACAAATTGAATATTTGCTTAAAGGGAAGCATTATGAAGGGGAAAGGATAGAAATATTTAATCAAGAAACCCAAGGCTACAAAAGTTTGAAAAAGTGGGACATGGTGGCACACACCTTTAATCCCAGCAGGCTGAGGCAGGAGGACCTATGGGAGTTCAAAGTCAACCTGGTCCACATAGCAGGCTCCAGGCCAACAAGGACTATAGAATAAAACTTCCTGAGAGAGAGGGAGGGAGGGAGGGAGGGAGGGAGGAAAGGAGAGAGAGAGGAGGGGGAGAGAAATAAAGAAATAAGGGAAGGAAGGAAGAGAAAGAGAGAGAGAGAGGATTTCTTTTCTAGTTGTGACAAGCAGAAGATACACACCATCAGCACACCAAGAAAATTCAGGGAAGGAGAAGGAAAGGTGCTAGACATGTAGGAGTACTGAGAACAAGAGAGAAATCTCAGGAAACTAATGTATGGATGCTAAATCCAAACACTGACGGAAGAACAGGACACCGTGGGTAGACTTGGAACATAAAGAAAGGTTCATTTTCTGGATCCCACCTAAACGACACAAGAAATAATACTACTTTTAAAAGATAGTCAAAAACAGTTTTCATGCTTTCATCAGGCACCATTTCTATGTGGGAAAACCTTTCCCAACAAATATATCTCCAGGTACTTGGGAAAAAAGAGTGGGAAGGAGGCTGGGACCTCAAGAGAAGAAACACCTTCAGGACTGACTTAGAGGCTGTGACATCTAGTGTGTACAGGCAGCCTTAGCTGTTTTATACTTAGCTAAACCTTTGTATCCAGCCTCAGAGGACATGCAAAGTGAAGTCGAAGTCCTTGGCCCCGATGGACACCCAAGAGCAGTGATGGGTTGTATGTCAGCATCATCATAGCCTGGGCTAATTACAGAAACCCATCTGCGTGATTATTTCACATTTATCAACAACTTGCTAGCAAAGGCTTTGAAAGGTGAAATTTCACTCACACTGACATGAAGCCAGAAATGGGGGGGGGGCTGGGGGGATGACCAGACAATAAAATGGAAAGACAACTCTACAGAGAAAATAAAAATAACGTTCTAAACATTCTGTGAACAAAACTACAGTATTTTTAAAGTCTGCCGTGTCCCTGTTTGACAATTGTGTGTTTACAATAAGCCCAAACATAATTGCTGTGATGGGCTGTCAGGGAAAAGATTAATTTGGCAAAGATTAGTATTGACTTGCTGTTTATTAAGGCTTTTAAACAGCTGTATCTGGCAGCATTCCTGTAAGTGGCTGTCATCACTGAAAAGCAGCCTCACACCCCGGTGCTCGCCAGCTGTTACCGCACAATCTTCCACCACTCTGAACGTCTTTCTCCAGGCCAAACGGCAAGAACAGCTACTGCCAAATGAGCTTCCCCTCCTCCTGCCACATTTTTTCCTTTGGTGGGGATTGGGAGCCACTCAGAGCTGAAATGTCAGCTCAGGCCTGATGATTTAGCTGATAAAGGGGACCGGAAACCAGTGGGTGGTTTGGGTGCTAGGTGAACAGCGCTCCCTGGTAAAGTGCTGCGCTGTTAGTTACTTCACACAGACAAGAAAACCACAGCCTGCGACTGCTGTTGACAAAAGATTTTTTAAAAGGAGGTGTGCTGTCAAAGGTTTAGAGCCATTGGAATTCCAAAAGTCACCATCTAATTTCCCCAGCTTGCTTGCGATAGCCTGCATCTCTTGAAAGAGACCAGCCAAGGAAAAATGGAGGATATGTTGGAATGTATCCATCAGTCCACAGCACAGGCATGGGGCGGGGTGCCTTCTGAGACTCCCAAAAAGGACAAGCCCTTTGACAAACACATCCCTTGCTCTCACTCAGTGGAAAACTACAGGATGAGGCCACTTCACTTGATGTCTATAAAAGAAAAAGCAAATTGAGATGTGTACCGGGCCAAGACCCAAGGTCTTTCACAAGATGTGGAAAGAACAACATTGCAGTGCTCTAAACACCAGACCGCAAAGGTAAAATACAGTGGTGGAAGCCATATCAGCCTTCCCAGTATGACTGTGGTGAGGCTTCATCTCAACCTCTCTATGCATTGGGCTTTGATGAGCTATCAGAGCAGACTCAAGAGGAGGTGGTGGTGGTCCCTGATATTCCTCTGCTGGCATTTCTCAAAGCACTATAGCACAGGGAGGAATTGAACTAAGAGCTGGCCTTTCTAAAAGGACTTTAAAACAGGTGCTAAAACTTCACTGAATCCCATGGAATTATATTTTGAAGCCAGCTATTGGTGCAATCAGATCCTTGATGTTTAAATGAAAATGAAATCTAGACAGAACCCAAAGTATAGACAAATGAGCCATGCTGCTAACTCCCAAGTATGTGCCTCTCTGCCTACCCAGACCTTTCCTCACACCATGAGTGGATGTGAGAAATACAGTGACTAGACACAATAGGCACCAGGTGCGCCAGCCAGGCTGAGCCTGGCGCTACAGCCGAAGCTCAACCTGGGGACAAATGCAGAAGTTACTTCATAATCAACTGTGGAGGGGCAGCAGGTAGTTAAGTCCTAACGTAACTCTGGATGTGTGGATACTTGTGGCCACTTCCTAAGGTGAGAGCCATCCCTAGGGGGCTGCATCCCTCAGAAAAATCTGGCCAAAGAATGGGCTGGGCAGATATGCATCCACTTACTTTGTCCAGGGCCTCTTTGAACCTCACACAAAAGCAACAGTTGATCACCTCAATCTCTTCCTGACTTTCAGTAGGAGCTACTGTCCCATAGCTGTTTTATCAGAAAACTGACATTGTTGGGCTAGGGTGCGTGTAGAGATTGCCCAGGCTGGCCATAGCCCGCACTTTTATCCTGTTCTATTTATCTGACAGAAGTGTGCAATCTCCTCAGCCTAAGAGAAAGTCTCAGAATTCACTCCCACAGACTATACCACTTCTATGCTATATTTTTGTTTTTGTTTTTTAAAGGAAGGTAGCACTCAGAAACTTGAATCTGAGCCAGAGTTTTATACAAGAAAGAACATTGTCTCTAAACTGAACTTCAATTCCAGATAACATTTAAAACTATGTGCCTACAAAGCCATTCTAGTTATTGAGTGAAGTTTTGAGAGAGTGTATGTGAGACATGGTGTATGTGTGTGTAAGATTGTATGTGAATGTGTGTGAGTATGTATGAGAGATTTTGTATGTGTGTACATGTATGAGATTTTGTATGAGTGTGTGAGGGGTGTGTGTGTGTGTGTGTGTGTGTGTGTGTGTGTGTGTGTCTGTGTGCGTCTGTGTGT